CAACGTTTACCATCCAACCTGACAGAACTGGAGAGGATCTGCAAGGAGGAATGGCAGAGGATCCCCAAATGCAGGTGTGAAAAACTTGTTGCATCATTCCCAAAAAGATTTATGGCTGTATTAGCTCAAAAGCGTGCTTCTACTAAATACTGAGCAAAGGGTCTGAATACTTATGACCATGTGATATTTCAGTTTTTCTTTTTTAATAAATCTGCAAAAATGTCAAACATTCTGTGTTTTTCTGTCAATATGGGGTGCTGTGTGTACATTGAGGAAAAAAATGAACTTAAATGATTTTAGCATATGGCTGCAATATAACAGTGTGAAAAATTTAAGGGGGTCTGAATACTTTCCGTACCCACTGTATATGTGGAGTCCAATAATTTGTGCTTTTAATTTGAAATCATTCCTCAGTGATTTTTGTACAATAATTAAATAATGCATGAAGTTTTATATGGATTTATTCTCAATGTATTTTAAGAAGGTAACACTGCAGGGGCTGCATTTTACAAATTTGGAAAAGATATGTAAAGACATTTTAAATGTATTGATATAAATGTGGCTCATGTATTTTTTTGTGTTTTACAGCTGAAGAACCTGACGGGCATAAACCAGAGGCGATGATGTGAAATATCCCTGTCACACTACTCCTGACCGGACATGTAGTTTGTGTCATGAGCTGAAGTTTCATTTTCTTTTTGCTTCCTGATTACCTGTACGAAATGAGCAAGAGAAAGCTTGTCACAGGCAGTGGGTCTCCTTCGGTTGACCTGCAGGACCAGTGGTTTTGTCTGTTATTGCTTCACTGCCCCAGATCTCACTCTCCTGCACAGAATTTTTTTTTTTTATCCCCTTTGTATAAAGGACAGGATGATCTGTTATATTGTTGTTGGATCAATAAAATTATTATATATTTAACATTCTTAATTTTCTTAAATCATTAAAATAAAATAAAATCAGTCATCTACTGTAATTGTTTAACCAAGGCAAACACGAGTCTGGGAGGAAAGTCACTTTTGTGTAAAATTTGCATTGGGATTGTCTAATCTTTCTGCAAAGAAAAACATTTGCCATCAGAGTAATTTGAAATGTACTATATCACGCACCTTCCGCACAGAGGCTTTGAGTGTCTACATCACATTTTCCGACGCGACTAATAAACTACATTATATTAAAAACAGTGATAACTTTATTTCGAAAAGCAATTTCCAGGTGCTTGACCCGGATATTAAATGAAGACCCGCCTTCATGTCGTATTTCGACTAATCACTGATCAGAAAAACATCTGGCCAATTGGCGGGTGGTAAATATTTCCGTGGAGGCCTTCATCAAGCCTAAGCAGCGTGGGTAGTGTGTAATCGTGTCTGTAACGTTAAATGTGTATTTACTCGTTTTTTTCTTTCTAACAATGCCCTATGCTAACCAGCCGACGGTGAAAATTACAGAACTGACAGACGAAAATGTCAAGTTTGTCATTGAGAATACTGATTTGGCGTGAGTATTCCGTTATTTGTCCATTCATAGAGTGCGAGACAGAGAGCCGCCATTGTCCTCAGCACCAAAAGTTAATGAGCGTTTATACGTTTCACTGCATTATGTTATTACGCACTAAAACGTAGCCATACATGTAGAGTGGCCTTATGTCATTGTCTGTAAATTGTGTGTAGGAACCTGTTGTACTCGGCACTTTTAACCATGCTAACTCTGAGAAACGAAGCAGCCCAAGTAACTTCAAAACAGTGCTGATTTATTCAGTGAACACAGGTAAAAATTAACATTACACGCTCAGGTATCTTGCACCTCCAACATGCACGCAGGCAGCTGAAAGATGAAAGACCCTGAACCACAACAGGCCTATACATTATCTCACTTCGGGCTAACCCCATTCTACTCAGAGAGAGACGCCAAACCGTGACGTCTCTCGGTGCCAGCTTTGCAGCTGGCCAGAGCAGTAGTCAAAACATGAAGAAAATCAATGTGTGATTGTCTGTTGATTATGTGGTGTGTAGCTAAAAACATTCTAACACGACCTCTAGTGACATGCCATGGCATTAAACATAAGAAAATATTATGGCTATGGCTACAGTTATACACGTCATAATAATAATATTAAACATCCTGTCTTCTAACAGTCAACTCTTCTCTCTAGTTATCCTTGACCATAAGCAACCTGCAGCAACTCATGAGAATGACTAAACATTTAACAGCCTGAGCTAGACATCCTGTCTATTCTAAACATTTCTAATACATCAAGTATCTAACCAATATCTATCTGACTAAAAAATACCTAACAAACCTTAGTTGTAGTCATAAATATACACTCAACGTTAGGCAGGCACTACATAGCACAGATATCTCATGGTGAGTAATGTAAATTATTTCATTGTTCAAAATCTTCGGCAGTGTTGCATTGTAATATTAAATATAACATGATGTAAGGATCTGTAGCTACTTTTCAAAGTCATTTTGAGCCTACATTATTATTCAGGATTAAGTTGGAGATCAGGAAATGACTGAAAGTCAGACGAAGGGGGCGTTTTGCTCTAAGCACAGATTACAAGTTCTTTTACTTCATCTAAAACCTGTCTCTGCCTTTTTTCAGTGTTGCAAACTCTCTTCGTCGTGTCTTCATGTCAGAGGTTCCCACTATAGGTAACAGAACCTTTTTTGACTGGACTTACTTTCCGCATATTTGATAAGAATTAATGGTGCTACACTGTTTAGTTTTTGACTGGCTCACTGGCATTAAATACTAGGGCACCTAATGGGACTGAGTCATCGTTAGCAAAAATGTATTCGCCCATGCTTTTTCTGCTGTGACAAGTCAAAATGTCTGCTATGCAAAAGGTCTGTACTAGGACCCGTAAACAAAAGCACCTTGATGGAATTGACTCATTATTGAATGTATTTGTTATAGGGCTGGGTATCATTACAAAATTTTAGCATGCTATTAAAGTATGGAAGTTCGATGCCCTGCACTAATTTGTTAAATCTGTGCTTCTCCTACTAGGACACACCTAAATAGTTTTTCAGTCTGGTCCAACTATTACCCAATAATCAACTATTAAATACAGACATCTACATTCACCTGCACGAGTCACTCAGTAACATGCATATGCGCTGAAGTACATTATTGTTAGGTGTCGCATCAAAATAAAAGTTGAAGAGAGTGGCATGACTGCATTGCCATCATCGACTGCTAGCATTTCTTCCTAATAGTAATGTGCAGAAGGAAATAACTAACTTGCACTTGTTTACTTTATTCACAGCAATTGACTGGATCCAGATTGACGCCAATTCATCAGTACTGCATGACGAGTTCATTGCACATAGAGTTGGTATGTATCATAGCATTTGTGGTGAGCTTCTAATGTAACTTAATGAGTCATTTGATATAGTGTTAAAAAAAAACCATAAAGGTCTGATACATGTATGTCTCCTGTGTTGTCAGGTCTCATACCTCTCACAAGTGATGACATTGTGGACAAAATGCAGTATTCCAGGGTGCGTATACTGGTATAAGTACACTGATCCTTACTGATAATCAACCACTGCTGGTAAAAAAAAAAAATTGTTCCACATCCTAACATGAGGACAAAAACTTTATGATTTTACCAGGGGGTCAGTGACCCTCATATTCTAACAGCATCATCAGTAAAATATAGATGCAAGAAAAAGTAATGGCAAAGTGTGCGCCTCTGTGTGTTTGTGCGAATTCCCGTGCGTGTTCGTGTGCACGTGATTGCACGCACACCCAAAGCTGTTCTAACGGCGTAAAATGAACAAAATAGGTTTGTGTGTGTCCAAATTCACAACTCCTTTCTCTTAGAAGGTCACACTCTGTTACATGAACTATTTTGTGAGAATTGAGTCACAACATGGCTGCTGATGCAGGATCGGCTCTGCTCAGCCACTGTTTGCAGCGCTTTCTGTATGCACACTGTATGGGTTGAAACATAAGCTGCGTGAGTGCTCCTACACCTGAAAATGATATATAAAGTGCGTATTATTATTATTGATGTAATATGGAGGGAGTCTATGCATGGCTGTGCATTTCTGAATTTACACATCTGTTCACGCGTAGGAGTACCCACTCGGCTCATGTTTCAAGGAAATGCTAAATAGGGAAGTAACCCTGCAGTGACACGGAGCGCTGCCGACAGTGGCCAAGGAGAGGCCACCAGCATCAGCAGCCATGTTGTGAATCAATTCTCACAAAATAGTTCATGTAACAAAGAGTGTGACCTAAGAAGAAAAAGAAGGTATGAATTTGGACACACACAAACCTATATTTTGTTCAATTCACACCGTTAGAATAGCTTCGCGTGTGCGTATTCACGCGCGCGAACACACATGAGAATTCACGCAAACACACAAAGGTGCACACTGGACCAATACAACATCAAAACTGATATGCACTTCATCAAATCCCTTCATTATTAGCAAGTCATCCTTGCAAAAAAAACAGTGGAAAAGTGCATTTTGGTTTCATTTAGGCTGCAGGCTTTGAAAATGAAATCATGTGGATGACTATCAGAATTACAAGCTGGGACCAAGTACCTCAAAATTCATTAGGAATAGAGCGCGGTGCATAGCTTTATATATAACCCATATACCCATGATGCACATCAATTTGTTTTCCATGAGATTGTCTATGGCTAAACAGATACTGGAAGAGGGTCTTTGATTTTGCTAGTTTTTTCATATGATATCTCAAATCCTAGGTTCAATTTAAATATAATATATAATAATGTTGTATTTTATCAAAAGTCCTGCAGAGTCTGCTTTGGTTTTAACCATGTTGACTGAAGGGCAGTGTCTGCCTGTGTCTGTTCCTCCTGCAGGACTGTACCTGTGATGATTTCTGTCCAGAGTGTTCTGTTGAGTTGACTCTGGACGTTCGATGCACGGAGGACCAAACACGTCATGTCACCTCACGTGATCTTTTGTCTAACAATCCCAGAGTCATCCCAGTGAGTCTTTTCTCTGTTTACTGAAATCACTGACAAATATTTTACACATTGTCTAATAAATCAACAGAACATGGGACAGGATGTGGTGTCTCTCGGGTGTAGTTCCCCCCTCCATGACAATCTGCCACCTACAGCTTGTCTGTCATTATTACAGCTTCTCTACCCTGTGTTTTCAAAGTGCAATCCAAAAATCAGCCCTGTCTGCCACCTAGTGAAGGTCATGAGAAGTGTTTGGTTTTTTTTTTAAACAGGAGTAGTCTTTTCAAATGCTCAGCCACAAAAGGAGTCCAAAAGCACTGCCTGCCAGACTGAAGGGGTAGTGTTCTTTTGTGCAGAGTGAGTGAGAAAGAGGAAAAAGCAGGGCTAACATCAGTTTGGCTTTGGTAAAAGCAGACATGTCATTCCTTATGGATGTACTAGCATCTTAAGCTAACATGTTTGTTTTGGTAACACTGGCATGGTCATGAGTTGAACTTTTTGTTGAACTAATATGATTCTACGTTGGCACCAGTTTCTGCCACCCACGTGTCATCATTGATAGATGTAGAACAGTTTAACGCTGACGAAAGGGCACGAAAGTCGTTATGGCCCATTAACTATGGCCCAAATTTAAAGTGAACAGCACTGTGGCCTGACTTTGAGAGTGAATAGCAGTGAATGTTCACGCTAACAAAGTGAACAGGAGTCCTCTTCCCATGAGCGGTCACAATCCGATCATCTCCCGTACGGGATTTGTCAATGCAGCACCTTTGCCAGATGATGTCACCATCCGTAGTGGCGAAAGTTGAACCAGATCCAACTTTCTCACTGCACAGGCATGTGTCATTTTGCTGGAGCCCCCTGCAGTTCTGGTTTTGGCGGCAATGAACCAATCTCCCATAGAAATGAATGGGGCGAGCTGCGTTTATTCACACCTTTGAAACTCAGTCTGAATACACTAGCTTTGAACTGGAGTCTGCACTTTGTACAGTTTGTTGCAACTGGGTGTCCATAGTTTATGTCATGCCTTCAGGAAACATGACCAGAGGGGCAAACAGCGGTAAGGAGTGCTTTTTGGTGAGAGTTTGTGTTGAGTCTTAATAGACCCTCTAGTAGCTAAAGAGGATAGAGTACCTTTGAGTGAAAACAGCAGGTAAAGCTGACAGTGTTTTAATTTGGTTTTCCAGGTGACTTCCAGGAGTCGAGACAATGATCCCAATGACTATGTTGAACAAGACGGTAAGCCTAAAGCTGTTTAGATGGATAAACTAGGTGTTAAGGTCCTTGTCTTTACCTCAGCCATTTTACTGTCGTGTCTTTTTCCATCATTTTTAAATATTTTGTTTTTCTTTGCTGTCTCCAATTCTTCTTTTGTCATTTACTTACACAACACAGACATTTTGCTGGTGAAACTTCGTAAAGGTCAGGAACTGCGGCTTAGAGCATATGCTAAGAAAGGCTTTGGAAAGGAGCACGCCAAGTGGAACCCAACAGCGGGAGTGTCCTTCGAGTATGACCCAGACAATGCACTGCGGCACACAGTATACCCACGCCCTGAGGAGTGGTGCGTTATCTCTTCTAGTATTACTCCTCATGAGGGTTAAATTTGTAACACAGAATGATCATCACAGAATAATTCCTCCCACCCCTCCAAAAACACATTGCTTGTGCATCTATACCAGCCTAAAGTATCACCACTCTGATTTTCAGGCCAAAGAGTGAATACTCTGAAATTGAGGAGGATGAGGTTCAGGCTCCCTATGACCCCAATGGAAAACCAGAAAGGTGAGAAAATCATTTATACATGTGTACACTTGAAGTACAAGACATGTTGTAAGACACATTTGGCAGCAGTGCATTAAAATGTAAACCTGGGAACTACAAGATAACTTGTCCATGGCTGATTTCCCCCTTGAGGTTCTATTACAACGTAGAGTCATGTGGCTCTCTGCGACCAGAGACCATCGTCATGTCAGCGCTAGCCGTCCTCAAGAAGAAGCTCAGTGACCTGCAGACCCAGCTGAGTCACGAGATCCAGAGTGATGTGCTCACCATCAACTGATGGCATCTCACTAACGGATCAGGACTTTTATCTTTATGAACAGAGGGTTTTAGGGTCACTGGGTCACATGGTCCACATCCAAATGTTGTTTATGGATCACCTCCAGCCCCAGCAGTGATTATAAGTTGGGTATGCTCTGGCGCACAGTGTGTGAGAGGGAGTTTGCTGCAGACTGCTACAAATTTAGTTCTGCTGCAATTAGTGTAACACTTGAAAAGTTGGACTGTTATGTTGTTTGATGCTACCTTTTAAATAAACTTGGTGTTCGTTTATGAAGTCCTCTGTCATCCATCCAATTTCTATACCACTTAGTCCCAAACAGGGTCACGGGGGGCTGGAGCCAATCCCAGCCAGCTACGGGCGAGAGGCGGGGTACACCCTGGGCAGGTCGCCAGTCCATCGCAGGGCTAGCACGCAGATGAACAACTACTCGCACGCAATCACTCCTACAGGCAATTTAGAGACACCAGTCAACCTATACTGCATGTCTTTGGACTTTGGGAGGAAGCCAGAGCACCCAGAGAGAACCCACGCAAGCACGGGGAGAACATGCAAACTCCGCACAGAAAAGCCCTGGGTTAGCCAGGGCTCGAACCCGGAACCTTCTCGCTGGGAGGCAACAGCGCTAACTGCCACCCCACCCCGTCCTCTGTCATAACTCTCATTGGCTTTAAGATTACTTACATTTTAAATACATATAACTGGTCAAACACCTGGAAAAGCAGGGAATAAACAAATTAGGTTGGTAAATTATGTTCAAAGTGTGCAAAGAGAAAAGTGAAGCCAGTTGAAATCAATAAGAACTACTGTACTGCCCTCGTGCTACGTGTCTCGGTAGAACTAGACAGTCAGTTAACGTTAACTCAGAATCCAAAAAATTCAAACAAGGCTTGCTTTTCTTGTTATTTCTTTTAGTCGTTTTCCAAGTTATGATTTTCTTGTAAAACTGTAACAAATACAAACAAACATAGTACATTAATTAAACACAAAGTGAACCCGCCATTACACGTACATAAACCGGACACTAATTGGACATATTATTTTACACACGAACGTCTAAATGTCTACTTTACATATTAGACCACTTTAAATCAATAATACTGTATTTACTTACAGGCAAATAATGTCCAAAACTCAAATGAGAAGACGATGTCCGTTCTACAACAAGCTAACATGAGCTCAATGGCAAAAACGGAAGTGAACTTCAACAAAGAACAGACCTATGAAAGACCACAAGGTGGCAGCTTACTCACATCCCTATAAACTATCATAATGTGAAAAGCTAAAACTGCATTTCAATGAAAGGCAGCACAACTACAAAAATGCATTTTCTGAAGAGAATGCGTATGGATGCTGAGTATGAAAGATCATCCTGAAAATGCTGAATATTTTGACACCTGAATGCTTTTGCTACCTGAAAATATGCTGAAGTTGGAATTTCCCCATTCATTTGAATGAGGCAATATTTCAAAGGTAAGGTTTACAAAAAATCTGAAGAGAATCATAACTGGCCTTGAAGAGCTGAACATTTTCATACCTGAAAGTATGCTGAAGTAGAATATTACTTGTTCATTTTAATGGGACAAGATTTTCAAAAAAAAAAGCTAAATATTTCAAAAGCATGAAATTTAGAAAAATTTGGAAGAGACACATGAATGTCCTTGAAGAGCTGAACATTTTTATAGCTGAGAAAGCTAAAAGTATGCTGAAATAGAATTTCCCCATTCATTTGAATGAGGCAATATTTCAAAGGTAAGGTTTACAAAAAATCTGAAGAGAATCATAACTGGCCTTGAAGAGCTGAACATTTTCATACCTGAAAGTATGCTGAAGTAGAATTTTCCCAGGCATTTGAATGGGGCAAGATTTTCAAAATAAAGCTAAATATTTCAAAAGTATGATGTTTAGAAGAATTATGAATAGAAATACACCTGAAATAGCTGAAAGTATGCAGAAGCTAAATTTTCCCCATTCGTTTGAAGGAGGCGAGATTTTCAAAACAAGTTAAATATTTTCAAAGAATGAAGTTTACTAAAGTACTGAATAGAAGCATGAATGTCCTTGGAGAGCTGAACAGTTTGATAGCTGAAAGTATGCAGAACTAAAAATTTCCCCATTCATTTGATTGGGGCAAGATTTTCAAAATAAAGCTAAATATTTCAAAAGAATTTAAAGCAATTTTGATAGCTGAAATGGCTGAAAGTATGCTGAAGTTGAATTTCCCCATTCATTTGAATGGGTCAAAATTTTCAGAATAAAGCTAAATATTTCAAAAGTATGAAGTTCACTAAAGTTCTGAATAGAAGCATGAATGTCCTTGAAGAGCTGAACATTTTGATAGCTGAAAATATGCTGATGTTGAATTTCCCCATTCATTTGAATGGGGGATGTCCTTGAAAAGTTGAACACGTCGATACCTCAATGGCCTATATAGCTGAAAGTATGCTGGACTTATTAAGTGCCAAAAAAGGGTGGAAGATCCCAGAATAATAATAACTAGAAAAATTGCATTTCCTGAAGAAAATGCACGTGTGGATGTGAGATTTGTAATGCATTGTTCTGAAAATGCCTGAAATCAATAGCCAAAATGGCAGAAGGATGAGAAGAAATGGCTGATGTTCTTTGTTGAAATAGTTGAGAAGAATTGGCTGAGGTTCTTTTTGGAATTATCTGAAGGATGAGATGCAGGAATGTCCTTGAAGAGCTGAACATTTTGATAGCTGAATGACTTTTGTAGCTGAAACTATGCTGAACTCATAAAGGTGTGAAAATTCTCATTTTTCCCCACTGAGCAGGTGTGTGTGAGTGAGTGAGAGAGAGAAAGAGAGAGAATTCCCAATTACACCCAATGTGCAGAGAAGGGATAGTGGTTATATTGGTAGAAGGATGTTGGAGATGGAGCTGCCAGGCAAGAGGTCTAGAGGAAGGCCAAAGAGGAGATATATGGATGTGCTAAAAGAGGACATGAATTTAATTAGGGTAAGCGTAGAGGATGCCGAGGATAGAGTTAGGTGGAAACAGATGATTCGCTGTGGCGACCCCTAATGGAAACAGCCGAAAGAAAAGAAGAAGAAGATACTATCTCCACATCACTTACCCCGCTTTCACGGGTTTAAGTTACCTCTGTTTCTGAAACTGAAAACTCCCGAGTTTTCCTCATTTCGGGGTTAACAAACTCAGAGTTTCAACAAAACCTCCTTCTTGAAACGGGCCCCTGATGGATAGATTCAACATACAACAGAAGGACAGAAAACATTACAAGCTCATGCACAAAATTAATACTTTCCAGTAGAAAAAGACCATTTGTTTGACTTTAAATCACTTTACTCTTGACTTTAATCTCTATCCAAATAGTTTATTTTTTTGTTTTATAACAGTTCATTCCTTTTATTTTCATTTGATCCAGTCTGCTTGTCTTTTTCTAATCAACAGGTAAAGAAAATACACATAGAAAATGTTAGTCTAGCTAACACATGCAAATTAAGTAATTAACCCAGAGGAGATGACCAGTTTTTAAAATAGTTTTCATTAGGGTGGAGTGTCAGCTGGTAGTTATGTAAAAGGCTTTTCACATTTGTGTGTTTTATCCTTGGGCTAATGTCAACCTTTGGAATACACAGCAGTCATATATTGTAACAATACCTGAAATAGCAAAATTTCACATTGTGAAAACTATGCTCTGAATTTTCAGAGCAGTCCTCACAATATCAACATCACTATGATTTGACTGAGAAACAATTTTCCCCATGGTGATCTTGATGGTCTGTCTGAAAATGTGAACTAATGAGGTATTAACCCAGCCCAGATAGCAAGCATATGTGGGCCGAATCTGGCTGAGT